CTCTTTTAAATCTAGGCAACACTATTTCTTCAGAACAATCAACTATAAAAATTCATAAATATAGTCAACAAAACTTATGTGAGCTCTCTTTTCTCTTGAGTAAAATAGATTGGTCTCTCTTCAACTCACTTGAAAATTTAAATGACAAGTACCTTGAATTTTTATCTAATGTAAAATGGTGCATTGATGCAAGCTGTCCTGCTGTTTCTTTTAATCCAAAAAATAAAGTCAAAAATAAATCATGGTTTTCTAATGACTTAGTGGTCCAACGCTATGAAATGAATGAAGTCCACTGGCTTCTAAGTATCACTCATTCTCTAGAACTAAAAAATGATTATAATGAGATGAAGAAAGATTATAAATACAAAATCAAACAAGCAAAACAAATTTATTACTTTACTGAAAGAGTTGAGAAAGCAGAAAATACCATAAAAGAAACCTGGAAGATAATTTCTGAAAAATTGGGCAGAAACAAAGAAGAAAAACAAGCTCTGCAAATCCTTCACAATGATGTACTTGTTACAAACCCTACTGAGCTTTGCAACATCTTTGCGGACCACTTTTCAAGTATTTGTCAAACCAAACTAGAGGAATATTTAGTGGACAGAGATAATGTATCTTGCACAATATCTAAATCATCATTAAACTCTATTTTCATGACTTATGTAACGGAACATGATGTAAATGACATCATCAAAACATTAAAAAATAAAAACTGTGCTGGTGTAGATGAAATATCCCCCAAGATATTGAAATATATGTGCCATAGTATATTACCAGCCCTCACTTGCCTGATTAACTCTTCTATTGAACAGGGGATCTTTCCCGATCTTATGAAACTATCTCTGGTGTTTCCATTACATAAAAAAGGAAAGCTGGACAATATTGAGAACTATAGACAAATTTCACTTCTGTCAGAATTTTCTAAAGTACTTGAAAGGTGCATCTATAATCAGATTGTTAGCTTTATTGAAAAATACAACCTTCTTACAGTTGATCAGCATGGCTTTAGAAAAAAGGAATCTATTGAAACCGCGAGTTATGAAATGTTGAACTTTATTTATCAAGAACTTGATGCAGGAAGCTATGTTGTATCTCTCCTGTTCGACCTCTCCAAGGCCTTTGACAGCCTCAATTTCAGTAAAGTTTTGGAGAAACTATATGCATTGGGAATCAGAGACAGATCGCTGAGATGGATTGAATCTTACTTACATAACAGGAAAATAATTGTCAAAATTGAAAACGAACTTTCCCAGAAACATTCCATTTCTCTTGGAGTTCCACAGGGCTCTGTCCTAGGACCCTTAATTTTTTTGCTCTATATCAATGACTTACCAGACTACATCACCAGAGGCAAAGGAACAATATTTGCAGACGATACCACAATTACCCTAGCTGGAAAAACCCCTGAGGAACTCCAAGTGAAGATAGGTCAAACTATAAGTGACATGGAAAGCTGGTGTCAAAGGAATGACCTTATTCTTAATAAAAGTAAAACCCTTTGTATAAATTTTCACATGAGGAAGCATTTACCCTACTCTACTACGCACCATCTAAAACTTGATAAGCATGTCAAACTACTAGGTACTTACTTGGACGCCAATCTAAGCTTTGACACCCACTTAAACCATGTCTGTTCCAATCTCAACAAGTCATTTTATGCTATTTTTCAAATGAAATCCTATCTAGATCAAGAGGGACTAATGAAACTGTACTACAGCTTTGTATATAGTCACCTAGCATATAACGTCATTACTTGGGGCTCCGCCTCAGGATGGCACAGAGTATTTATTGCTCAAAAAAGAATCATTCGTCTTATGTTTCATATGGAATTCCGTGAAAGCTGTAGGCAGACTTTCCAGGAGAAGAAAATACTTACATTCACTTGCATCTATATCTTAAAATGTGTAACTTACATAAAGCTACATCCTGAAAAATTTCACCGGCAGAACAGTCTTCATAGATACAATACTAGATGCAATGGAATATAGTACTTCAACCTTCAAAAAATCTCCCATTTTCAACTGTATAACACTTTTCAATGCTTTACCAGAGAATCTAAGAAACTTGGGTAGCTACAACATTTTTAAATCAAAGGTAAAATACTTCCTCACAAAAAACTGTTTTTATTCCATTGAAGAATACATTTCTTACAGAAATTTGTAAATGTTTTTTATCCCAGTGTTGTAATTTGTCAAATGTTTTAATTTTTTAATTTCATTACATATGTGTATAATTACTATAGTACCTAGTTTAAGCTCACAATTTTTTTATAAATTTACCTACACTAACTACTACTATATATGTAATTTGCTTGTGCATCTATGACCTGCCATCTGTACTTTGTATTTTTATATGGCCAATAAAGATTACTTACTTACTTACTTACTATATAAATATATTTGATGAAATAGAGAAGACAGCAAAAAACCCACAGGAAATGGCAGGTACAGCACTGCCATATGTATTCGTTGGCGAAGAAGCTTTTGGATTGACAAATAACTTAATGCGACCTTATCCTGGGAAATGATTAACAAATGAGAGAAGAATCTTCAACTACCGTTTGTCTGCAGCAAGAGGTTCCTTTAGTATTCTAAGGCCCGTGTGACACTTGATCGATTCCTATATAAAATTATACATATAATTTGAAAGTGTATATGTCAATGCAAAATAAGTATATGAAATTTTATATTGTTCTGTGTCTTGTCTGACACTCAATAGAATTTGAGAAGTTTTCAGTTCATCTTTTCAACACTTTATTTCTTGTATGTGTCACAGTCTTGTGTTTTCATTGGTCATGCAAATTAAGAACTGACAACTGAATTCAAATCCAAAATCCAAAAATAATCTCTGACAATTCAACAAAGAAGCAATGAAGATAACAACAAATAATCTAGTATTATTAGCTACTTCTGCTGCAGCAGTTTTCATTGGTTTGGCATTGAGAAAACGAAGGTATGAATCAATCAAAAGGAGATGGACAATTCCATGGTTAGAAAGACGGGAAAAGGGCAGAGGAGGTCTGAAATTGCTGAAAGAATTAGTTTGTGAAGATCCACAGGCCTACAAAAACTTTCTTAGGATGTCAGACACCCTATTCAAAAAACTCCTCGATTTTATCGGAGAAGATATAAGAAAAAATTATACTTTTATGAGACCAGCTATATCAGCCAAAGAGAGACTCTACGGTTCCTGGCCTCTGGTGATAGTTTCAGATCTCTGATGTATTTGACTAGAATCGATGAAAAAACAATATCTAAAATTGTTCCAGAAGTATTTACTGCAATTATCAACAGACTGGAGCATTTGTATCTCGAAGTAAGTAATTGTAAAATAAATAATGAGGTCTGGTTGCCTAATAAATAGTTCTTAGTTCTCACTGGCTTGATATAATATGTCTATGAAATAAATTCTTTTATAGACACCTCAAACTGAACTTGAATGGAGCACTCGATGGGAAGCAAATCAACTTTCGTCCACCAAGATCAGATGGATCCTATTATTACAACTACAAAGGGGAACACAGTATTGTACTATTGGGATAGGTTGATGCAAATTATCGCTTCATTTACTGCAATATAGGAATCAATGGTCGAATAAGTGATGGGGGAGTTTTCAGAGAATCTACACTGGGCCAAAAAATAAATAGTAATGAGATGAAATTTCCCGCACCAAAGGAGTTATTGAATAGATCAAGAAAAGTGCCATATGTTATTGTAGCAGAAGATGCTTTTCCGCTGCCCCCAAATCTCATGAAGCCCTATCCAGAGAGAGGTTTATCACATGATAAAAGAATATTCAATTACCGTCTCTCACGAGCTAGAAGAATAGTTGAGAGTGCTTTTGGCATTTTGTCAAATCGGTTCAGGATTTACTACGTTCAGCAAAGGTGGAGCTCATTACAACTACTTGTGTTATTCTACATAACTTTTTAGCAGTTGAGAACTCAAATAGTTATTTACTTTTAGATGATCTCATGGGTCAATCAAATTAATTTGATAGGCAACATTTAGGGAGACAAAGTGGAAATAGAAGTAGAGATGAAGCCCTCTTGATTAGAGATGAATTCAAAGCATACTTCAATTCAATGGAGCAGTTCCCTGGCAAGATCTATAAATCAACAAGTTCAATTTCTGAAGAATTCATGAGACTATGAAATGCAACTGATTTGTTATGTTCGTTTTTTTTTTGAATAAAATACAAAAGAGTTATGATAAAATACTTTTATTGAAAAAATATTCACTATAGTAAAATAATATTTATTGTTATGAATGTCTATTCAGTCATTTCACTTCATAACTATCACAAATCAAAAATATTTAGTTTTCAATTAGCAAACATTTTTTTATTACTTGATACTTGAGAGAGTACCATGTAGAATTCACATAATAAACTAGAGATCAACTATTCTTCTCAGTAATAGAATAGCACAGAAAAATAAATGAAATAATAAACTCTGCAATATCAAAACTAAGTATATCAATGCTGTTTCTAAATACCTACCTACCTAATAAATCTGAGAAGATGATAAATTGCATATTTCTGCCTGGACATTCTTCTGTTTGTCTGAATTCTTTATTAATTTGAGTCTACTGGCAACAAATTCACCAAAAATATCTTCATAGGCTTTTCCTGGTGTATTTGCATTACTTTGGCTGCGTAATACATTGGTTACCTCACTCATAACTGAAGATGCTGATTCAATTAAAGTGTTTTCCAAAGTCAAATTATTTTTTTTAAATCGTTTTGGTATTATTTGATCATTATTTTTTGTGGGGACTGATCTCTGATATAAAACAACATTTCAATTTATATGTTCACACAAAATGTCAAGAAATTAAAAATCTATACTACACATATCTACTCACCTGGATAATTTTCGTGCAACTAGATCTTCTAGTTGGACAAATAACAGCACTCAGTGGATGTTTCCTTGGAAAGAATAAATTGAAAAAAAAAACTCTAATATCAAAACATAATTACCACTCATATCTGCTTACCTGGATATCTGATGAAGGATATAATATTTCACTACTCTCCTCAGCAAATAAAACCTGGTTATACTCCAATGTAATGATCTCTGAATTCTCATCAGCTTCAGGATCACCATTTCCATAATCTATTTGAGATTCATCATCTATTTGAGTTGCATCATCTATTTGACTTGTATCATCTATTTGAGTTGCATCATCTATTGTAGACGAACTATAATCTGCTTCACTTTGATTAAGGGTGTCAAATGATTTTCTGATGGAACAATGTTCCAGCAAAAACAGCATTGAGTCAAAGTACCATGAATTTGGTTGATATATCTGGAACAAATACATTCTATATTGATATTTGCACATAAAAAGGCTGCAATGAAACTCACATCTTCTGTACCTGAATCACTTCTTTTAGTACCTTGATACTTCCTATATTCTTTTAAAAAGTTGGCTCTCAAAGCATTGACTTTCAATTTCATTTCATTTATGTTTGTATCTGGTTTTATTTTTTTCAATACCTTTTCTATATATTGAAGTGCATCGGCTCTACAGTGCTTATTTTTATAAAAAAGATATTTAACAGCATACAAGCGTGGTTTTTCACTGATGAGCTCGATCAATAATCTCACTTGTTCTTTAGACCAAGTCATATTTCATCAGAATCAGAGATACTCAGATTCATCAGATATTATATTATCAGGTGATGAAATGTGGACACAAATCCCAAATGAAAATAATAAAATGATAAATTTCACCTCTTACTGCTCACTATCATCACCTATCATTCTAATTTCAGGTTAGGTCTGTTCTTCTGCGCACATTATGCATAACATTTTATTTAATATTTTAATAAAATAGAACATGTTCTATTTCTGGATATAATATAAATTTCTATGTAAAAATTCACATCAGAAAGCTGTATGACACCTGAAATCAAATTCAATATAAGAATATATATTATACAATTCTATATAAAATTATATTAAGTGTCACACGGGCCTAAGTAACAATTGGCGTATATTCCACCGAGCCATGAATGTATCTGAGGAAAGCGCAGTAGCTATAATAAAAGCATGCTGTGCATTACACAATTTTGTTCATGTAAGGGATGGCTTCAATTTTTGAGGATACTTTAACAATAACAGGTCTATATGATATTCAAAGGCACCAACAAGAAAACCGTGGACATAAGTCTGCTTACAAATATATAAATGCTGTCGCCAACCATTTTAGCAGTCCTGCAGGGTCTGTTTCATGGCGAGACACTAAAATATGATAATATGTATATACTTTTTCGATTATAGAATTACTTGTTTTCGGTTTTATATTATGTAACTCGTTATATTCTAGTATAGTCTTGTTTTGATAAGTAACCCACGATTGAGGCTGCCATTTTGAAGAGAAAGTGCTGCCACCTTGGCTCGTAACGTAACCAGGTATGACCTGGCAGACCATTACCATCCTTATTAACTAATATTTGTACATCTGTTCACAAATTTCTACTTTTGTTACAACTACTAAGTCAAATTGGCCGGTAGCTCTCAGACTATAAGATACAACCCTGGCGAATAGAGTAACAAAAATATATGCTTACTAATCTTGCTTTTCTTTATCAAATTTTGTACTGAATTCGGGAATAATGATGTCGCAAATTTCCTTCCATGCTTCTCTTTTCATCTGCCTGTTTTTGTACTCTTCTGATGAAGAATCCCACAAACATGTTTTTTTTTATTGCGTCAATGAAAAATTCCACGTCTATATTTTTCATTGCTCTTCACACATCAACACAACTCTGGAAACTGACTGACTGAACTGAACTATCAAAATGAATTTGGCAGAAGCGATAATAAAACGCGCTGCATAAAAGCACCAATTGAAATCAATGTATTTTAAAAACGCCTGTCGCGACGCTTTCTGTAATTCCACGCGACAGGATTTGATAACACGGCGACACAGGCGGCGTGCGGCTGATTGACGTCGATGCATAAAAGTGCCAATTTAACAACGTGCTTTTAGAAAACGCCGCGTTTTCTGTCGCCCCGCGACATGCGATAAAAAACACGTGCATAAGAGTAGCCTCAGAGTTATGATAGTTTGGGTTGAAATTCACATTATTCATCTGTAAGATCAATTGTTTCTGTTTCATCGAGGAAGGAAATTGTTTATATTTGATATCAGCATTTATATAAAATTATGAGCTGAGATATGATGTTTTTCATATAGATATCTTGAAATTGTATTCCTATAAATTAGATTGAACGTCATATTGATTTTTTGATGAAAATTCTTCTTCCTGATGGATGATTGATTTTTATAAAATGTTTCGGAGAAACAATCAGTTGAATTTATATGAGAAAACTACTTCGAGGCATGATAAAAGCAATTAGCATATACTCTGACATTAATCAAGATACTGATCAGCTTGTGTCACAATCTACACTGAATTTTTCAAGCTTGATGCAATGAGAATTGATATTGTTATGATGCTGATCATGCATCATGCACATAATAATCAAGTACTGCTGATTCACTGGTCCATGCCTTCTCCCCTACATAGTGCATGCGTTCATGATAAATACTCTTACTCAGTGTCTTATGATAGCTATATGAAGAATCCCGAATCCCAGAAAAATACTTACACGTGTAAAAATGTTTCAGAAATGCCAGAGATCTCCGATATTTATCTGAGATGTTTACACAGAAACACAAAAATTGGGAGAACCCACGCGAAAACACGTGGAAACGACTGCGAAGTGAAATTGTGGTCTTGAAACAGCCAGTGGAAAATAGCCTTAGACCTTATACTTCTTCAGTAAGTTTGGATTGCAAACCAAAAATGCACTTTGGAGTTCAAACATAAAAAAAATCACTAATCACTTTTTGACTTTTCACAAGTTTTTTCATCATTCATTCGACTAAATTTGAGATTTTGCACGTTTCGCCATCCTGCGATTCTCGCGCCTCTCGCGGTGTTTTTGGAAAGTATCGCCAACCATAGAACACACAGACCAATCTAGTTGGCGGCTGTCAGACTTTATCGAGAACTTTTGACGGAACTGTTCAACTACTGAATCGTTACACCATAGTATAAGCATCTCAGCATTAGTTCACCTGATTGCAAAACGCCGGCGCAGAGAAATCGAGAAATGGTTCATTTTTGTTGACATTCTTGAGGCGTTTACGTGTAGATCATAGATATACTTCATTATATTGTGTTATTTGAAATTGTGCTATAACGCAATTAGTAATAATGAAGGTTTCGTAATGATCAATCTGTTGTTTTTGAGCAGAATTTATTCAATACCGTTGATCGAGAATTTTCATGTAAAATGCGCTGGTCTAACCATGAGACCAGTAGACACTATAGTTGTATCATTGTTGGAGGTATGAAAAATATGTGCAACCATTCCCAGTCAGCACAAGAACAGAAGACGGACGTCTTATGGACCTTTTGGGGACGTCCATTATTACTAATCAGGATGTCCCGGCGACGTCCATTTTAGGTCGAATTATGGCGTGAAATGAAAGTTTATAGGACGTTTTCAGGATATTCAAAATACATTTATCTGAAAAATGCATAACCTTTTTATAGAGTGAAATATGTACATCCTAGAAAACATCCTGATGACAAATATGTACAAGTTCATTAAACTTTTATAATTTTACATTATACTAAACATTTTTTGATCTGCGATTTTCGCAATCCCTAGCTCGTTCGATCCAGGACTGAAAGGTATCCTCGCTTTCTTTTCGACTTTGCGCTTCTTGGCTTTTTCCGCTGCATCTATAAATAATTTTATGGATATTTTTTCGTGTCGTGAACGAACATCTTCTTTGCTGTTTGTGTATAATGTATATCATTATTGAATTCTTTTCTCTTGAAAGTATATTAAATAGGTAAATATAATGAACAAAGTGTATAAATCATGCATATTGAATTCCTTTCACATCAAAATTTATTGAAAAAAAAATTGTGTATTCTGCATACCGGGTGTCCCAGTTTGGCATGTTCTAATGAAATTCCACATTGGTTTCAAAGAATTTGGGATCTGATGGTTATACTTACGCCCATAAGCCTTTTGAATTCGAATAACAATCTAATCAATTCACCTTCAGTATTTACAATCGATTTGAATTCAATAATAATGATAATAATAATGATAATCATGATTGAAATAATATCAACAACGTACGATTCATGATCGCTTTTGAGGTCATTGCAAATAATTCCACAACCTTCAGCAATTACCTACCTCTTATAACAATTTCAAATGATGCTTTCTCTTTATGATTTTCAACGTTACTTCATTAGAGAGGAATTTTCATGTAGGATTGAGTAATTGTATAGTATATTATTCAACAAGCATATAATTAGGGCTAATATTCACGAAGGTTGAGTTGATGTCACGGGCGTAGCGAGTGGTACAATTAACCTGAGTGAATAATAGCTCATTATATGCGAGTAGAATACTATACTTTGTCCACGACTACTGTATTGTCTTTTATATATGAATTTATTTTCAACAACTGTTTTATCATAACTTAATTGACATTAGGAAAACTAAAACTTGAAGATATCTGTTATATTAATTATTTCTAGAACTATTGGGCCTATTTATTCAAATTGATTGTAACATTTATATTCGTACAATGGGTAATATTGAAAGAAGGTAGGGAGTTTATATCTAAATCAATATTTTGTGTGCTTATATAGAACTAATATGATTGAGATTATCAGTTGGGTAGTTACAAATATTAGTCTCCTGTATCGAGCTTGATATTTTTGTAGCTGTATCCATTTTATTTTTAATTGACTCGTCAATGTAGCCCTCCGCTACCGATGTGGATTTCCAGCCCCCGTGTCTCTACAGTGTTGTTATGTCCCCACCTGCATCGACGAGTAAGGTTGCAGACGATCTTCGGAAACTATGTCCAGAATATTTCTCAGGATTCGGCAGATTCAAAAACTCAGCTATTTGTCTTCCCATTTTTGTGAATTTGTTAATACCGATCCTTTGTGAAGTGCACTTGCCATTTTGGTAATTCAGAAAAAATACATGAGAAGTTACATAATTATGCGGGACGGAGATCGATGTATTTTTTACAAATCATGTAAAAATTATCAGTAATGGTGAATTTTTTGCTGATTTTTGTTTTGGTAAATGGCACGTTTACTAAATAGGCTGATCCAAGGTATTTAATGTCCTCTATTTTCATGTTATACATTTCATTTGCGCGGCATGCACCCATTATTCCCATTATCATTGTGACCTGATAACAAATATTTTTCTATATTGATTCCTTGATTTATATTAAGCGTACTCCTA